GCTCCAGCCTGCTTCACTCATCAAACCAGTGACCACGTCCCTGCAGGCCTTGGCCTTGGCCACTCGGGCTTCAAGGAATCAAGACACAACTTCAGCCTCTCTGTGCCTCACTGTACTTCTAATTTTTAAAAACCCCACTAGAAAGATTCTTTCCTACCTCAGCAGTGCTAGGAAGAAATTAAATAATGGCGGCAAATTACCTGGAATTTGTCCTAGAGTTCTCCCCCTTAAGTATGCATTAAAATCAACTGGAGGGCTTTTAAAAATACCATTGTCTGGGCTCCATTCCCAGAGACTTTGATTTCTTAGTCTGGGATGCAGCCCTGGCATCAGGATGGCAGGGAGTCCCTCTAATGGACAGCAATGTTGAGAACTCTGACCTTTGGAGAGACTATAACTTGTTGAGTCTGAAGGATTACATTTATTGGAACATCAGTCTCCAAATGCAGTTTCGCCTCTCACCTCCACAATAATTCACAATACTTCTTACTTCTGGAAAGAGGCTACTATTCCAAAGCCTACTTACTGCACGGCATTTACAAACTGGAAAAGAAGGTCAAAATACGTTCTGATTTCTACCATTCATTTTTCCCTCCAACACAACTGAGGAATAAAACACTAAGGAAATAAAGGAAAATTATCCGAAGAGATAAAATTCAGGCAGCAAGAATAGCTCAAATACAATACAGGAAGGCTCATGGTGGTAGGCTTATATGAAAAAGTACAACTGCTTTCAAATTCATCAATGTACTAAGCAGAAAAATTTTCAAATATTAAGACAATTTCCCCAAGACTTTCCAGTAATGGCTCAACTTTGATCTTAAGAAGATAAATTCCAAATTATTACCTCTTTCAAGCTTTCTATTAGGTAGAGTACATTTATATTTTGGCTTTCCATCATGGGAAATGCAAGCTATTGTCATTGAAATTTCAAACAGTAATACCACCTTATGTTAAAGTTGGAAGTTGTATTTTTGAAATAGTTTCACATAACAATCTATTTACTGGACTTCTAGCAGGCACCAGGAAGCACAGACTTAATCTCATTGCCACATTTCATAAAGTTTTTAAAAAGAGCTTTGGAAAAATTTAAAATTATGCTTACGATCACTGAATAGTAGGTGGGAGTGCTTGGATTGAATCAACATCTGTCTGCCTGACCCCAAACCCATATTCTGCAAACTAAACTGTTTAATTGTCACCAGCCACAGCAGAAAGATCTGTGCCCAATATCCCAATTTTCCCAGTTAAAAAGCCAGGTGTACAGCCTGCTGCATATCACAAAATAAGCTAAAAAAAAAAAAGCCATGTCAAGAGCCTGCCCTCTACTCTCTGTTCTTCCAGATGATTGAGCCACAGTTGATGTGACACATGATAAAAGCTGTAGGGATAGCATTTATGTATCACTTATGGATGAAAATAAATTCCTGGTTTCTTAAATATGTGGCTTGGTTTCAGCACAGGTCTGACACAAGCCTGTCTGTTCCAGGGCCCTAGAAACACATATCAGGATGAACCACTTTATTGTTCCAGTATCCTCTCATGAATCCTATGAACAATGATGGGATACCAGTGAGCACAAGCACCTATGCAAAACTTTATCCTGCCCTTGGCTGTCCTGACACCATCTCAGATGACCAGGAGGACACCCCGAGGAGGATGGGGATCATCGTATATGGGTTTTTCCTCTATTTGTAAAATCGTAAAGAGACTGCATCATAAAACTCCAGCTAGAAGGTCTCATTTCCGTGAGACCCACTCTCTGAGGAGGCTCCAAAGGGAATGTGTCATTTTATGTCCTGATAGCATAGTGTCCTTTTCGTTAAGCTGCTGACACTATATCCTCAAACCTGTACTCCAGGAATGGTGCCAATGTTGTAGCCAAGAAGTGATTCTCGAAGAAGTAGGAAAAAAAAAAAAACAGACAAGATACGGCTCCCCTGCAAGAGAAAGCAAACAGGTTTTATCACCTAATAAACATGTCTTGCTAATCAATACTTATTTGCCCTCTTTTCTAAAGCAACTTCGGAGAGTCACTTGAATTCTATCACTATGGATAATTCTTGAAGAAATTGCATTCCTATCTCCTAATGATCTTCGAACAAAGCAAGTACCTCATTTTATGAAGTCCAACTACCCAGAGGAACTGGTTCAGAGAGGAGCTTAAAATACAGTTAAAATTGAGGTCTTAATCATTACAATGTGACAGAAACTCTACTGTTATCAAACCTCGCCAAGCCCTGTCTCTCAACTGCCCGCAGCAAGAACAAACAGATGTCAGGGCTATTTGTTTTATTCAAAAATGACAAGAAATCAAAAATCTATCAAAAGGATGTGTCAGTAGCAACGCCTCAAGCATACTGGTTAGTGAATTTATGTGCCTCCATTTTGGCTCACGACAAAATCACCTCCCAAGCTTTCTAATTTCAAATGTCTACTTAGACATAAGAGAGTTCTAGAAACTTACTATTAATAAAAGATACCATATACCAAGTAGTTGTACTCTGTGCAGCTTTAAGTTAATACAAATTTGACATGGCCTGGGACATAAAATATTAAATAACTTTTCTTCATGCACATTTGTGTAAATTCCACAACACGTCTTTTAAAAACTGAGAAGTGCAGAGTCCCAAGGCTGGCTTACTGAGTAAACTGTAAAGCTCCTGTATTAGTGCCACGTCAGAGTGCCGCTTTATGTGCTAACAAAATGCCCATTTCTACTCCACTGTGCACGGGGACTGGAATTTTATGAGCAATTTTAATGACCACTGTTGCTCATATTTTAACTACTTTATTGTCATTTTAAAACTTATCCAATCTTCAAAAAGTGATAATGTTAGAATTAATACAGAGAAAATAAACTATCAAACTATAAACTTTAAAACAGAGGTAAAGTGTGATTAAATGTTGTATTTTTAAAATACTAAGTGAACCGTGGTGGCTCCCAACCACCAGCTGGTACCTGTAATTCCAACCATTGAGGGGGTTAAGGCAAGAGGACCCACAGTTTGCGACCAGTTTGGGCAACTCAGTGAGACTTTTCCTCAAAAAAATAAATTAAATTGAATTAAACTAAATTAAAGGGCTAGGGACACAGCTCAGTGGAAGCTCAGTGCCTACCTAGTATGTGTACGGCTCTGGTCTTCATCTCAAGTACTGGGGGAAAAACACCACCACAATTAACTGAGGATCTAACCCAGGAGACAATAGACTTTTCCTTTAAGGATCAAACAGTTATCATTTTAGGCTCTGAAGGTCTCTGCTGCTGTTGTTTTGAACATCATCAAAAACATAGCTGAGTTCTAATAAAACTTTATTTACAGAAGCACACAGCAGCCTGGATTTAACTTACAGGCTATAGTTTTCCAATCTCTACTCTCCCTAACGGCCGAATGCCCATTCTTTTAACGTGGCATTTCCACTGTTCATAAAGCCAATATTCCCTCTACCTACAACAGTCTCATCTTTTCCATAGAGCTATTTTTGAGAAACCAGAAAGTTCCATCAAAGCAAAAACATTTCAAGCTAAATACAAATGGGAAGTAAGTATATGGAAAAATGCTCAACATTATTAGTCATTCAAAAGATGCAAATTAAAACAACACTGAGATTCCATCTCATCCCAGAAAAAACAGCTATCATCAAGAATTTAACCAATAACTAATCTTGACAGGGATGTGGTTTCGAAAAAGGAACCCTTCCCCAATTTTGGTGGGAGTACAGACAGGTACAACCACTGCAGAAATCAGTATGGAGATTCCTCATACAACTAGGATTAGAGGTCCTATTCAACCCAGGTATTCCCTTTCTGGGTATCTTCCCAGAACAACTGAAAACATCATATCACAGAAATATATATGCACCCATGTTTATAGCAGTAACTTGTAATAGCTAAATCTTGGAAACCCAAGGAATGGATAAAAAAAATGTATTTTTTTATGATGGAGTACTATTCAGCCATTCAGAAGGATAAGCTTGAGACTTTCATAGGTAAATGGATGAAACTCGAAACCATACTCATAAGTGAAATAAATCAGGCTCACATGTGTAAGCATCATATTGTCTTCTCGGTGTGAGACATTGAAAGAGTAAATAAAGTCAAAAATGTACAACAGATATGGTAAAATGGGAAGAAATTGTTAAAAAGGAAAAAGGTACTAGGATGGGGACAGGGGAAGGGAGGGAGGGGAGATAAGAGGGCAAACAGAAATAAAAAATGATTGAGATGCAATATTTATATGAACCAATACCCCAAGGTGAATGTAATTATTATGCAATAAAAACAGACTAATGGGAAAAAGCGTAAGTATTTGTATATAAATGCTGAGATATTATGGACACGAGACCAAAGGATAAAGGTGAAATTCATTTGTTTCATATATATCTTGCACTCATAGCCTGAATGTAAGTTTTTACAGTATATTTTGTGTTCTGGTATTTTGACTGCCACCCATCGCATAAGTCACTTATGAAATTTCCACTTGTGGCATCCTGCTAGCACTGAAATGTTTCAGATTTTGAAGTATTTGTTTCTGAGGTTTCCAGATTAGAGAGGCTCAACCTGCATGACTAATAAGATGTATTTGTTTCACTGGCCAATCGATATGTTCCTTTCTTCCTTCCGACTCCACTTACCGCTTTAAACCTCTCCTTTTATTGTTCTCAGAACAATAAAATTAAGCCTCAGTTAATCCTGAGCTGCAGTCTTTATAAATCTATGCCACTTTGAGAGACTCAATCATGGTAGATTGTGCTGAACAGTTTCAGCGATTTGAATGAGGTTGTAACCCAGCACGTAGTACAAAACTGCTCTGAAAATCAAAGAACCAAGTAAATAAAGGTATTGAAGAGATAACAAAACACCTGTGTAATAGTATTCCGTGGATATAACTGGGAAATGTACAGCGTGAATAGCCCAGGGAGGTAGATGCAAAATACCAGGCTTATAAGCATGAAAACATGGCTCAAGTAAATGATTCTGATTTGCTTCTGGTACTCACTGGTGATTCTTTATTCGGCTAAGGGGGCACCACACTGTTCCTTCAGCAGCATCTCCATTATTCTAATTCCCTATGGAGAGAAGAAAGAGAAATCAAAATGCATACTTCACAGACAAGCATTCTACATTTATCATAGCCCTGTCTTTCAAGGAATCCAGGTATTCATTGCAGGAAAGCAGGATCACAGTCTTTCCTTATGTTTTTATGATATTTTGCTCAGAGATATCACCTACATATCTCTAGATATGCTCAGACCAACTTGGGAGGATGGGCAGAGCATAATTTAGGATCTTTACTTTTAACATAAGAGATCAGCCAAACAGAAGTTCAGCAACTTCTTGAAAGTGACCCAACCCCTAAGTGGCATTGCTAGGGCTGGAACAGCAGCACTGTTAACATTTGCTGACCGCCAACAAATGTGCTGGTTTCACTTGGGTCACGGGTGCTGTGATGCCCACTAAGATCCCCTCCGGGATGGAGGCACTCCCTCCCCCATCTACCAGGGCTGCGGGCTGCTGCAGGCACACAGCCATCCTCACCCCAAGGGAGCTGCCTCACTGAAGTCACATCCCCTCTCCAGGAGGAGCCCCGGCCAGTAATGAATGGATATCCAGTATAAAGGCCCGAGTGCCTTATGTCAATGAAATGATCGTTAAGGGTATTTCAACCAATGCCATCGCTCTCCACAAGGTCAGCTGGGACCTTAGCTGCATCTGCATCTCAGTCACCATCATCCTTCTTTCCATCCCTCACTCCTTTGTGCTCCTGACTTCTCTCTCATACACTCTGCATGAAAATCTCTATCTCTGAGCCTGGGTCGGAGATGGCCTGGGTAGTCTGGGTAGAGCCAGCCTATGCCACCTTGCTTGATGTGCACAAAACTTTCAAGCAAGTATCATTCTTAGGCCCATTTTACTGTAAACAGAAACTCAAAAAGGTTTAAGTAATTTGCCCAAGGTAATATAGCTACCAAGTAATGAAGCCAGGAAGATACAGGCACCCTCTGCTCCCGTTGGCAGCATCTCTCACCCTGCTGTACTGTTCATTCCATGACAGTCTGTACCAGCCTGCCCACACACCTACCCTGTGCAGAAAATTCTACACTGGAGGAAAAAAACACCTGATATGCCTTTATTTCTTTAAGGGCAAGTGCTACAAGCCAGAGGATAGACTTTCAGATAGAAAGAATTAGAACATAATTAAGAGGCAGGGTCTTATGAATCTCTACACTGGATCTGGGAGGAAAGAGACTCACTGTCATCATGAGACAGAAAAAAAGTTTAGAGAGAACAGCAGTGAAGGGAACTTATAGTAAAGTTTCCCAAGTAACTGCTAGGATGAGTCTGATTTAACAGCACTAAGCAGGCCCCAGAGTTCTATGCTTTTAACAAGAACTTATGTGATGCCCTTCTGACGAAGGCAGGCTGAATGGGCCAACAGGAGAAAGATAGAGACTTCCTATTGGATTCTTTTCTGAGCCAAGGAAGGGCTGAGGATGGGAAGTAATCAAAAGCATTCCTAAAGAACACAATGAAATACATTTGACAACAAAGTAGCTTGAATGAGGTTTGATCCAGAAAGTTGTGCAGATTCCACCAAGGCCAGCACCCTAAATGTTGCCGGTGCTTTGGAAAGAAGAAATATTACAGGATCTCAAGAGATTCTGAACTAGGGGCTGGGGATTTAGCTTAGCGTCATAAGCACCTGCCTTGCAAGCAGGCGGTCATGAGTTCGATCCCTGGTACCGATAAAGATGAAAAAGACAAAAAAAAAAAGAGATTCTGAGCTACAGGAAGTCCAAATCAAAGCGGTAAACTGTAGGGTTTGGTGTTGTCATGAGAGCTAAGAGATCTGGGCGCCAGTCACACCCCCACCAGTATTTAATGGGTACCTGAGCTGATCATTCACACTATGGGCACATTAGACTACAGATGTCAGAGAACAACAAGGCCAATTGGTTTAGTGCGTTCTATGCCCAGCTGCACACCAGAATTAGAAGAGAAAGCCACCAATGCAAAGTCAGGCTCCAAACTCCACCAGTGACTCAATAAGAAATCCCAGGGCTGGGAGCAGGAATTTGCATTTACATGCTTCCTGAGATTCCAAGACACAGCTAGTACATATACTAGAATTTGTAAATAGCAGCTTTATACCATCTCTGAGATCTCTTATGTTAGGGTTTGTGTCTAGCTGTCCCTCCAAAACCTCAGGTAGTCACGGCAGGGACTTTGGAGGTGCTGACTCTAGAGGTGTGATTGAGTTACACTGCAATGCTAACAGGGTTAAGGGTGCTGAGATTAAGTGTGGTGATTGCTAGATCGATCCACTGATTGGACTGGCACTTAATCTCAGTAGACTGGATACAATATTAGGGGCAGAAAGAGGTTTATCTTTCTCACTTGTTGCTTTTGCTGTCTTCCATTGCCATGAACTATTGCCACTCTGCCATGTGACACCTGTCTTGGAACGAACTGATTATGGACTGAAACTTCCACAAACTGTGAGCAAGTAAACCTTTCCCCCTTTAATTTTGGGTGTTGGATAATTTGTCTTAGCAACAAGACAAAAGTAACTAAGACACCTTGCAACTCTGCTGGTCGGGGATTTGACAAAATAGATTCTCCTTAACAATTCTTATGATATAGTATATACTACACACTCTTAGGGCCACTCTTGTTTTAAAACAAATTGGAGGAAAAGACACAGGGAGATGAATCTAGACCTGGATCATGCTCCTTCTGATCTCATTCATTCAACAAGTCCAATTAACAAATATTTATTATGTACCTACTACAATACATACACTGGAGATTAAGTTGTGAACAAACAAGACTAAGACCTTGAGCTTATAAAGCTTACAGTCTAGTAGATCCTGAGAAATTTTCATACCCTTGTTTGGTTTTGTTTGAATGAACAACACATAAATGGACAACAAATAAATGCCTTAGTTTTATTTTCATTAAGAATAAAAGTAACCATAAAAATTCATTTTCAAACTTCTTTTTTGCAGGATAGGTGTATAAATCTAGATGTTGTCTTTCAAACAAGAAAAGCACACTGCTTTACTGCGGAAGTCAGAACCCATGAAACCTCCTCTCCCATTCATCTAAATCAAGACCTCTACCAAGTATTGGCTGAACACTAATTGACATAAGTGAAGACTGTGAGGTTTGCCTTGGGAATTGAAAGATGTTATTTGCTGAATCAATTATGTTCCCAATGCAACAGCTGATTTTTCCCTCCTCATTTCCTCCTCTCATACCACCTTAGTCTTTTTAAGCTGAACAGTCAGAAATAGGTAGGGAACAGGGGCAGGGAGAGAGTGAATTAAAAAAAACTAACAGGGAGGCCAGCCAGTATTTAGTACCTCTCTTTGATAAGGAAGAACCAAATCAAATCCCAATCGATAGTTCTTTCAAATAAAGTTTATTCCAACAGTTAAATCTCAACCCCCAGGAGAGCAGGCTTAAAGAGACTAAATTTCCACTACTTATCACACAATGATGCTTGAAATGCAGAACAAACATTAGTGGAAACACCTTTATGGGTATGGCTTAAAAGCTTTTTGGACTGACAAACCATAAGTCAGCTTGATTTTATTATTTCTTTCCCCTCAGAGAATTTCTTTTCTCTATTACAAGGCTATCTTTCTCTGCTTGTCAATGTAGAGATAAGTAAGCTATCTCACAGGCTCATTTCCCTAATACCGGAGCTGGGCTGCCCAACTCTTCCCACAAAGGAATCTCAGAGCCTTTCAGATTCAAAACACTTCACCAATTCCCACTCTGCTTCTGAGGATGCTGGAAACTGTGGGAAAAACAAAGCTTGTGTTTCGGGGAACAGAGATAAGCTAGAACCAAAGATGGCTACATACGGCCAGTATATATTTATTGTGTTATAAAAATGATGCTTTCTTAAGCAGCTCTGATTCACCTAGGAGGCTCCAATTAGGGTAACATTAGACCTTACAAAAATTACAGAGTTCTAAAGCAGTTCTCAAAAACACAGCCATGTACAGCACTTAAGAGAACTGCTCATTCATTATGACGCTGAGGAAAGATTGGTGTTAAAGATGCCCCCTGGAAATGACGCTTCCTTGAGGGTCACGGCGTGGAACAGATACCATGGACAGTACCAGGGCCCACTGTGTGTGTCACAAAGTGCACTGACAGCGTGGGGCACGGGGATGCATAAATGACAAAATGCTGTGGTACAAGGCTTCATTGGTCTCTTGAGAGGAAAAATATCTGACAGACCAAACAGCCTCTGAGAAGTGCTACATCCTACAAAAGAAAAAAAAGTACAATGGAAAAAAGGAAGTAGAGACTAATCTCACAGGAAAGGAGGGCTCGGAGCAGGACTGGAAGAGGAGAGAGGCAGACGCAAAGTGTGCTCTTCAGGGTGACACCGAGAGATGGAGAACCAGGCAGACGGAGGCTGAAAAGAGGCCTGAGGGTGAGAGCTGCATGCAGCATCCCTTCTGTTCAAGCAACTGCCGCCCTCAAGGCTGGGAAGCCAGACAGCCCCAGACAAGGCCACCACACTCCCCAGCTTCCCACTCCCCTGTGGCTCCTCCCCAACACAACTGATTCCCACCTTAGCTCTGCTCTTATCTAGAAGAGACAAGAGCACATGAAACCCCTCTGTGTTGAATCACAAGAGCACTGTAACAGCGATGACTCTCAGAGAGATCTGGGGTCATGTCGAAGCCAAGTATGAGAGAGGGTAGATCATCTTAAAGTCTGTAAACTTCAATTTTGAACTTCAAATAGAAGCAGTAACATAGGCTTTTCCTAATGAATTAGTTAAAATAATGCACACTTTGGTTATCCTAGTACCCAACATTAAAACACTAGTTTTTGGCCAGGCCTGCTGGTGGCACACACCTTAATCCCAGCACCCTGGGAGGCAGAAGCAGGAAGATCACAAGATATGAGTCTTGCCTAGGGAAGTTAGCCAGAACCTTTTCTCAAAACAAAAAATGAAAGGCTGGGGATGTGGCTCAGTGCAAACCCCTGCATCCAGCCCTGATGACTGTAAGAGCAAAGCAAATAAAAAACCCCACTAGTTTCACAAATGTTCTCCAAATATAAATCTCTTCCATAATCATCTAATGCCACCAGAAAGTAAACACAGGAAGTTGAAAGCTTTCTCTATCTGATTCAAGATGTATTCAGTAGAAGCACAAGGCCTTGGGGCACAAAATGCAAGAGTAAATGTTTACTATAAATGACTGACTTCATCCATCAGCCAATCAATCACCAGGCTACACATATCAACCACTTTTTTCCTACTGCATTAATTTTCTGTTTATTTTTTAAAATAGAGTCTTGCGAAATTGCTACATCACTCAGGCTGGGATCAAACTTGAGATCCTCCTGGCTCAGCCTCCCAGAGTTCTGGGAATTCAGATATATGATATGTGCCCAACCGCATCTACTACAATTTACGATAATGTACTGAGAATCAGGGAACAGAATTTACTTACATTTGGATCTTATTATCTACTGCAGAATCTGACACGGAATAGAACTCCTGCATGCCAGCCAATGAATGTGAATTTCAGAATTACAGTACAGTCTGCTTAACAGCATGCTTGAAGTGCGGTTGAGAAGGTCAGCACAGGGGAGCTGCTGCAGGAGATGAAAGAACAAAACAAGGAAAGAACAAAGGTTGAAAACATGAAAGAAAGAAGGAAGGAGAGACTGATGCAGAGAGCTGACAGCAGAGGCAACAATTAAAGTGTCCTGGGTTAGCCAACGGGCATTTAGAGACTGAGATCCTTCCACGGATGTTGAAATTTGTATTTCAAAACCACTAAGTACTTACTTAGTAAAATGATCACTGAGGTTTAATGATACAGGCCCATCATCTTAGCTACTCCAAAAGCTGAGGCAGAATTGCAAATCTGAGCCCTGTTTGGGCAATTCCACAAGATCTTGTCTCAAAATACAATATAAAATAAAGGACTAGGGATATAGCTCAGGAGTTCAAAAAAAAAAATGTATCGATTTTACTTCAAAAACCTCACTTTCCTTTTGATTCTAATGTTTCCCCTCATCAATCACAAGCACAGAGGCCTGCTTTCTACTCGGGGAGCATGTTCAGTTCCTTCTTTTTGGCTTGTTGTTTTCTCCGAGAAACATCTCCAGATCTTTCCAAGGCTGGCTAGTGACCAGGGTGCTCCTTACAGTACCAGATCTTGGCTTACTCAGCACCTCCTCAAAGGGTCAGTAAGCTCCTTTACCTGGCGATACCCTGAACCACGTCATCCAGCATCCATCCCTGTCAGTAAGTCCCATCCTTGTAAACATTTTGCACCACCTTGCACTCACAGCACAAGCTCCATGAAATGGAACAGAAACCTGGCCAGTATTCACTGCTAGGTCCCAGCACCTACACCGGAACCCAGCACAGACTATGCAGCATCTAGAAAGGAGGGAAGAGATGAAGGGAGGGTGACAGGGATCAATCTGCATCCAACGTTCTCAGCAAAACAGAAACGAGAAGCCAAAGTCTGCAAGAAGAGATATTTTACCACAATAAAGCATCTTTTGATCCGATGCTGCCCAACTCTTAAATTCAGGGCTTCCTCGCCTACAAAACTGGGATAACACCACACAGTGACACATTAAAATCTACTGGCACATACTGTGTGCCAAGAACATCTGCATTACCTATGTCAGCCTTCCACCAGCCTCGGAACATTGTTACCTTTTCTTTGGGATGAGACCAAAGCTCAGATAAATTAAACATCCTGTCGAAAATCAACCAGGTGTGGCGCACACACCTGTAATCTCAGTACTTAGGAGACTGAGACAGGAAGATCACTTCAAGTTCAAGACCAGTCTGGGCTACATAGCAAGATCCTATCTCAAAAAAAAAAAAGAAAGAAAAACACCCGAATTACACAATAATGAAAATGCAAAGCCTTGACCCCATTGAGGTGAACAGGTGGGAAAGCCCAGAACCCCAACTCCCATCATACATGCCACAAGTAGGCCCAGCACCTGGGAATAAGAACATAAAATTGTCTTTTCACATGCTGGGTACATCCTTTCCTATTGACTATGCTCAAAAATCCTGATAAACAAATCAGTTATTTTTGTCCTGCTTCCAAATAAATGTCATGAATCTTAGTGTGTGAATCAATATGGATTCTAATCACCTCTACAAATTATTTTTAATACAGTACTTTTCAAGTAGAAATAGCCTCACGCAATGTACGGCTTCAATATGATTTTGTCATAGTGACTAATAGACTTGCAAGCAACATTGATTCATTTTTATTTTCACTAATAACCCAGAATCTTTAGGTATAACTACAGAACATTAAGCTGGTAACAATGATTTGGATATCTTTGCAGCATAAATTCCTCCCTCTCCTTATGGAGAACATTTAATTCTCATAGCTTGTAACAGAAAAGGCTATATCGCAGAATAATAAAATCTAAAAATGGGAAAGCACCTTAGAGTATCTAATCCAGACAGGAAACATTCAGCTAATGATGGAAAACGGCCCACCTAATTTAGAGAGATGTCCCATGATGCACAGAGCAAAATCATCCCCATACAGCAAACTTCCCAGTAAACAACTTCCCAGTAAGCTGATTGGTCAGTTAAGTCACCAATGCCTTTTTATTTTTTGCATTTTATGAAGTAACTTCCCTTACTTGCCATTACTATGACTCAATCTGTTTTCATTTCGCATCTTCAAAAAGGTAATCTGCATGTAGTTTTATTTTCCCTTACTCTGACGTCAGGTGAAATATGGCTTTTTCTTAGCAATAATCTAGGCCACACTCAGTGCTAGTCCTTCCCATTCACGGGACCACATGCCAGCAGTGTCAATCTGAATTACAACACAATTGTCCCTTATACTCAAGCCGAGCCACTCCAGTGCCTGGCACCAGCACTCCTGGTAACCACTCTAAGATTGTGACGCACTAAAACATAACATAGCAATCCCCTTTTCTTAGCCACTTTTTGCTATTCCTGCAACATAAGCTCAGTCATAATTTCTCTTTGTTTCTTCCCTATTCTAAGAAAAACAATGATGAGCAGCATGCTGGTACATTGAATCTACCAATGAATTATTTCTAAAAGAATAAATAAATCTGATGCCCAGACAATAAGTAAACCCAACAGATTTCCAGATAATTCTCCTATGACGTTTTATTTCTATCGTTCTCCTTTGCCCAGGCTCATGCATTTCTGAGTTAACAATCTTTCCATGCAGGGCAGTCACCTATGTCTTCAAATCAGGCATTTCATTTCACCAAAATACAATTTCCGAAAAGCTATAATTTGGTCAAAAACCCACCTCATCAAAGTTCAGCCACATCAAAGCTAATGACAATTTATTATGGCAATACACAGCAGGGCTTTACCTAATTATCTCATTTAATCCAGCCAACAGCCCTACGAGGCAAGACACTTCCACTTTCACCATTTCCAGGAAAGGAGAAGCCTCGGAGAGGGAAAACCTTGCTTAAGGTCTCAGAGCCTACCAGGCGACAAGCATAAGATTTAAGCTTGAGTTTCTCCCACACGTTGTGCCATGGGTACTTTGCCTGTAAAATAGGTGGAGAGAGAATAAGCACATTTCCTCACAGGCTTTCTAGTTAAAGGAAACAATGTACAAAGCTACTGGCACACAACATTCCATTCTCTCTGTGGCCGAAAAAGCAGGAACTGACTTTTCATGCACTAGCTCTGACTAGGGCCCCTCACAACGGAACTCACCAAATGTCAGAGGACGCTCATCTCATGCTTATTCATATTCCACAAAGTGCTTTTCACTTGCTCTTCCTATCACTTGACAGTCACTAATGTTTTTTGTTTTTTTGTTTTTTTTTTTTTTTTTTATTTAAGAGGAAAAAGAGAAAAACACAAAACAAACCAAAGCGGTGTAAGGGTACACGCAATACAGAACTACAAAACAAAACAAAACAAAACAAAAAACCATAACAGTAAGAAATTACCTGCTAGTAGATTACACACTATTTTCTTGAAAATAGTTCCTCAAATCACAGTATCAAAGAACACAAGGTGGACATTCAAACAGGGAGACTGCAAACAGCTGTGTTCAATGTTCCAAAAACATTGATAAAGTCAGCTATTTAACACCCCCAAACACACTTGCTGTTATATCCGTTAGAGCTCTTTTTCTTTTTCTTTTTTTTTTTCCCTCTCTTTTTTACAACAAAATTTACACATCTTGGATTTTATTACTCCTTAGTGCTTATTACTTTCTTTGGGGGGGGGGAAGAGTACAAGTTTATCAACAATGGTTATCAACGTTGTCCCTTGTTTCCTTAAAAAGAATTGTCTATCTTATTAGATATTATAAAGTTGGACAAAACAGTAGAGAACAAGACCAATAAAACTTAGGCATTGTAAACATTACAGGACTTCCAAAGAAGACAATAGTCAAACCAGAATGGGTATCTTAGTGAATCTTATTGTCTTCAAAGTAGTTGCCTATGTCTTCAAACTTGATACTATCATATAGAATGGAACAGAGTCTAATCAGTCAAAACAAGATCGTGGGAGTACTACAGGACTTCAAAACAAGTTAATAGGAAATCGAAAACAGTTACTATTTATATATCCTAATTTTTTTGAATTTTTTCTTTAATTAAGACAAACATAAGAAATGACTAAATAATTTTTTTTTGAAACAATAAGGGGGAGATTGAGATAAAACAGGACATAACAATATAACAATAGAGGTCACAGCATGACTGTTTCAATAACCTAGTACTTCACCACCTTATAACCTGACTTAATAGTAGTTACCATAGTGTCTTTTTCCTTGAAATATTTGGGTAAAACTTCATATACTCTAGCTTCAAATATTTTCATATCAAGAAGCCCAGAATAAAGCCTTTCTAATTAATGAGTGAAAACTTTATAAGGCTTCAAGGCCACCTAATGGGGAATCATGATTACCACATATTTTTATATATTTGAATCATTACTTACATTAGGGAAACTATTCGGTATTCACACATGCGAGATTGATTTATTTCACTTATGAGTATGGTCTCAAGCTGTGCCCATTTATTGATAAATATCTCAATGTGATCCTTCTTTATAGCTGAATAATACTCCACTGTATAGAAATACCACAACTTTTTTATCCATTCCTCAGTTGATGGGCACTTGGGTTGTTTCCAAGATCTGGCGATTACAAATTGTGCTGCTATAAACATAGGTGCACATATATCACTGTGGTATGATGCTTTCAGTTCTTCTGGGAATATGCCTAGAAGTGGAATAGCTGGAATAAATGGGATTTCCAGTCCCAACTTTTTGAGAAATCTCCAGACAGATCTCCACAAAGGCTGTACCAGTCTACACTCCCACCAGCAGTGCAGGAGAGTTCCTTTTTCCCCACAGCCTCTCCAGCATTTGTTGTCGGTTTTCTTGATCCTGGCCATTCTTTCAAGAGTGAGATGGTATCTCAGTGTGGTTTTAATTTGCATTTCTCTAATGACCAATGATGATGAGCATTTTTTCATGTATTTATTTGCCATTTGCATTTCTTCATCTGAGAATTGCATATTCATCTCAGATGCCCATTTTTGGATTGGATCTTTGAATTTCGGAGGTCTGAGTTTCTTCAATT